CTCTTATGTGTAGCCAACGAGTCCATCTACATAACCATGATTGCCTGGTCTATAATTAACTACTCACGAGACTTCCAAACCTGCACACCAAAAACGAAGAAAAACCGGAAAAACACACGAAAAACACAAAGAACACCAAAATAGAACAAAACACAAAATAAAACACAAAACGAACTAAAAACCAACTAAAAGACCTAAAACGGGAAGAAAAGAATGATAAAATAATAACAAATATCGCAACAAAAATGGTTACAACACTATCTATAAAGCTCATCGATATGAGCCAAAACTATCCAATATCCAATTCAAATGCTCATTGATAAGAGCTTAAACTACCTATATGGCTCCTTGACACGAGCATAAAATGTCTACATACCCAATCTCCTTGACACGAGAATAAAAGGTCTAGAAGTCAAGTATCAAAGGCTCCTTGACACGAGCATAAAATGTCTACAAATTTGAAGGCTCTTTGACACGAACATAAAATGTCTACAAATTTGAAGGCTCCTTGATACAAGCGTAAAAGGTCTATATATCAAGATCTCCTTGACATGAGAATAAAATGTCTACATATCCAATCTCCTTGACATGAGAATGAAAGGTCTACAAGTCAAATATGAAGCTCCTTGACACGAGCATAAAATGTCTAAATATCAAGATCTCCTTGACACGAGAATAAAAAGGTCTGCATAAGATCTCCTAGACAAGAGAATAAAATGTCTACATATCAAGAACTCCTTGATACGAGTATAAACTATTTACAAATCAAGTCAAATGAAGAACTCCCTGATATGAGTTTAAATTATCTACAAATTCAAGCCGAACACTCTCAGATAAGAGTTTAAACTATCTGCATGTCCAAACCAAATCCAATATTTTGAGAAATTCACTACCAAGATATTTTGTCTGTGAACAAGTCTCAAGGGGGCATTTGTAGCCATCAAAATATTAATATTTTATTTTTTTATTTTGGGACATAAATCTAAGATAAATAAGATACTTAATTAATAAAGTTATTATTTCTTGCCCACCAATTCAAATCTTAGGATAAGAAAAAGAGATTACATCAAATATTAGGATAAGGAAAGAGATTATATCAAATCATAAAGGACCAATCAAATTGATGTCTTCTTCTCCAAGACTCTCTCTCATACACCTATCAATAGGGATCTCCTCAATGCCACAAACACACCTCAAAATATCAAACACATCTCATAAATAAAAGTCTCAAATTCAAGAACTCTCAAGAACACTCTTGAAGATTTGAAGAAGTTCTTGAAGAACTGCCCGACGTCCATTCTGAAGAAGAGAGGCGGCGACTCTTCCCCAAGAAGTAAAGAAACGACTTCAACTCCTCTCAAACCAATCCAAGAATATCAACGACGTTTAAGTGACATTCAAGTTGCGTTCGTTGAGAAGTTCAACCAATATAGCGTTTGATCCAGGAAAAAACTATCAAGCCCTCGATCAAAGTTATTCAAGTCAAAATCCGCAAGAAGATAAAAGAAACAAGTTCTCCAAGAAGTCTTCTTCAATCAAGCCAAGTCCTAACATTTAATAAAGGGAATAAGTCATTCGACCCCCAAATTAATGTAGTGAAATTCAAGACTAAGCCCGAAAGAGATTTAGTTGTCAAATCCATCTTTCAAGTTTTCAATCTCAAATTCATGAAGAGATGAATCAGAGGAGATAATTAGAGATTGTACCCGCAATATCGTTTGATCGAAATAAATCAAGTTGTACAAAAATTTTATGTTTATTCATAAAATTTGTTGTTACAAATTTGGCACACCCATTGGGACTTGAAGTAAAATTTATTGTTATAAAGAGCATAAGTTTTATAAATATGCATAAAGTAAGAAATAATTCATTTATCTTTAGATATTATTATTTACCATCTTAATATATTTTTAATTATTATAAACATTTGTTACATAAATTATTTTCATAAAATTAATATATTTGAGAAATAATGAGGAAATTCCGTTGGATCGATCATGTGATTGAAATAAGTTACTGCACAGGTTGATTAAGTTAATCTTAAGTGATATTTAAAATAGTCCAAAACAATGACACAACTATGGTCGATCCTTGGTCACGGGTCACTTTGGCCAGACAAAATTGATTACAGAAACTAAATAGAAACAATAATATTAAAAATACATTACTACAATAGATGTAATGTAATCCAAGCTCCAAGAATAATTTTATAAAAATATGTATATTTTTATTTTATTATATTAATATTTATGTAAACGAAATGATACTGCGTTACATTACAATTTTTTATTAATGGATGATAAATCAGAGTTTCTCATAATCGAACCATCATCGCACCATTCAAGTTTTTTATTCAATACATTGTTGGTTGGACCAGGATTTAATTTATTAATATTCATTTTATTTAAATATGTATTTTTATTCATATTAAAATTTATCTTAAATGTTACAAAATTTCTCTAACAATCATACAAATCCTACCGGTTCGAGCGACTATTAGTTCACGAACAAATGTTTTATTAAAGCAAACCGGATAGTTCGATAAATCGTTTCGCAGTACACTCGTCAGATTGTTCGGTCCGGTCTGATTTTACAATTAATAGGTAAATCATGACTATTGTTATTTATATACTTAGGCGTCGTTTACTTTGGTGGACATGACGGGATAACTAAAATTATCCCGGAATAACTAACATTTACTTTATAGGATTGGGATAGGTTTCAACTAATGTGGCATACATGTGGCATGTGGGTCCACATGCTTATCAGGTATTTATAGATTAATTCATCCCGGCCTAGACCCCGAATTTTTTTATCCTGACATGAGAATGACCATTTTGTCCTCAAAAGTGCTTGTAGAAAGACAAAAATACCCCTCAAATTCTTTTTATTTACAATCAAAATACCATATAAATATTGAAACTTTTTCATTTTATTAGGTTTGCATAGACGAATCCCCCAATTTCATTTTAATTGAACTCATTTCACTTGAACCAAAAATCCAAACTGATGCTCCCTGGATCTCACCGCCGATCGTGAAGCTCGGAGTCGGCGATGGGCGAAGTGGAGGAGAGGGAGTTGTCAATTTTCATAGTCTTCACCGAGGAGCAGCCGCCGTGGCAATTGCGACGGGCGCATCGACGCAACTTGACGGATTTCGGCTCTGCTCCTCTTCAAAACTGGATCTTCACCACCTCCTAACCTCTCCTCTCGAAACCATACCCACCGCTCGAAATTGGGATATTTGCCTCTAAAATTAGGGTCATATCTCTTCAGGGTTGTAAGAACTTCACTCGCTAGGGAATGGGTCATTCACTGATGCGAGTTGGTATGGTCTATGGCTGGAGATTCCGAATTAGGTTGCAGGGAGGGCTGGAGTTTCCAAAATTAGGTTGTCGATTGGGAGCAGTTTCGAAAGAGGTGAAATGAAAAAAAAAAAAAAGGGAAGGAAGAAGAATATTATTAAGGCTATAATTGTCAATTCCAGATAAATCATTTAATTTTATCCAACTAAGTAAATGCAAGACTATTTTGTAAACAACCTATAAAAATCCAGGTCATCATATCTATCATTATATAAAAAGAATAACCTTTTTACAAATTTAGAAACAATTTCCCGCCAAATCATTAATTACATACTAAAAATAGCATAATTAAAAGTTTTGACTAAATGCCCATAAATATCTCTATACAACACCTTTTTAATTTTTTTGGCAGGAATCCCTATTTATATGGATTCTTTCAATTACTTTTTGTATTTAATTTCCAAAAAAATCAATAGCAATAATTTGATAATTATTTGTAAATATTTAGTGCGAATAATTTATAAGCATACGTAATTTTTTAGTTTACTTAGTGTGAAATCAATAATTTATTAAAATCTATTGATTAAAATTTTTAAAATTTTTCAATCAATTATTTTATTTCAACCTAATTTGTTTTTATTTTTATTGATATGCTACCATATGTTTGAAGAAACATTGGTTAATAAAATAAAAAATTTATAATTTAATTCTAGAAAATTAGTTGATAAATTTGAACGATAAGGTAACCGACAACAACTCCAGAAAATTACGATATTATACATATAATATATTCATATACTAAATATATAAGGAAATTTAGTGTGTAGTTCAAATTTGAGTTCCAAATTCATAAGTCAAATAAGTAATTATTCATAACGTACGAGTCAACATTAACTTTGACGACGTAAATGAAATAGTCAATTATTCATAGTTTAATAAATTACTCAACCACTTCAATTTTTTGATTCAAATATTTTATATAAAAACAAAATCATCTAATTAGTGAAACAATATAATATTTATAATTATACTTATTATTCACATATATTTTTAAATAGACGAGAAACATTTACAACTTACCTATAAATTCGATTTAAAAAATTTGATTGTATTTTTTATTCCAAACAAAATCTCTTCCTAATATAAAGGATTTTGTTCAAATTGAATTTCAAAATATCTAATCACATGATTCTATCCATATCCTTAAATGAAGGATTTTGTGCCACTTTAAAATTAACAGACCTCTTGGAAATTACAAAATCATAATGAATTTTCATTTTTTTTGGTTTCAATCTGCACGAAATTCAAAATAGTTTAAGAATTTCAAATTAATTGAAATTCATCTCTTTAATTTTTTTTCATAAGTTTCAAAATTTTACAATAATTAAGTCA